ATCCTATTTAACCTTTGACCCTGAAGGTGCAGGACAGCCAGAAGGAGGCTGCACACAAGCCTGTACTGATGGAAATAAACACACACAGAGAACACATGCACGCTGTGTTTACACCACACAGACAACCTCATCCACTCTAAAGATAAAGATAAATATAGTGCCGAACACATTCACTGTGTGTGTGTGTGTGTGTGTGTGTGTGTGTGTGTGTGTGTGTGTGTGCTCCCACACACAAATATAGACATGCACACACGCATGTATTTATACACAGACCTTAACTCAAACTCTGTGTTTGCTGCTCTATAAGACAAACCTGCACAGTTAAATAAATCTGAACTGACTCGCTTTTCACAGTGGTGGAATTTCTTTTTCTTTTGGGGGGGCGTTATGGGGGGGGGGGTTATACACACGATGGTCTGGGTCTCATTTATCACTCGGTTTCACTCGATCCAAATCTGTGATTTATTGCAGACAAAATTATCGTGGCGCAGATGTTTGAGTGATTTGAGGTGATTTCATCAATAAATCAACATGTAGAAACGATTTCCATCTTTAACTGATGAATTAATACTTTAGATTAGATTAAAAATGTGTCGTAGATTGGCGGGTTATGTAGATGTGATCTGCTGTTCTCTGTGGTGGAATTGCTTCTATTCTGATTTATTCGGTTCTATTTATTTTGTTTGTTTTTATTCTTTTTAAACTGTTGTATGATGGAATCTGAGCTTGAGTCGAAACACTTTTAATTCGTTTTGAGTTTTGCAAAGAAAAAACATGTTCTGAGACAGAGAGTGAAGGAAAGTTTGGGTGTTTCCCTTTAACTCACTTACAGCACCTGCACACACACACACACACACACACACACACACACACACACACACACCTTTCCCCTCAGCGTCCTTAAGGTGAAGTGTGTTACAGACCATTGGGTTGAGGGTCCTTTGGGTGTAACAGGAAATCCCAGTGCACTGCGGGTGTACTGATATCATTGTTCCCCCTTGGAAAACTCCTGGACAAAATACACATTTATCCCTCATGAAGTCAGCGGAAGGGAAGCGTTCCACGCCGTTCCACATCAGGACGCGGGTCCTCGAGGGAACGCCGGGGCCGGAACGTCCTGGAATGTGGCTGTTTGGTGAATTAATTAAATATTAACCTGCAGGATCGGGGGGGGGGGGCTGCAGGGCCAGAGGAAGGGCAGCCGGTGACGCCTGGAGAGGAACTGCAGAAACATTTAACACCTGCACGCCGACACTGGCATATGTGCATTTTACTGAAATGAAGCAGAAGGGAGGAAAATGAATCAGTTTAACTGACTATTCTTTGTTTGAATTCATGATTGTTCTTTGTGACACTTTTAGGGAAATAATGGTCACAGAGCAGCTGCTGTTTCTCTGTCAATGTCCACGATACAACGAGAGATAACAGTGAGATAATGACAGTGGATTCTCCACCATCATATCTGATAAACGCTTCCTCCGTCTCCTCTAACCAGCTCATAACCTCAACTCAACCTTTGTTTACTTATCTCAAGCTTTCACGGTCAAGTTCAAGTTTACTTGAGCTTGAGTTTGCTTGAACTTGACTCTCAAGTCTACTTGACCTTGACCTGAGCTGCTCAGTACAACCTCCAGCACAACTGTCCAGCTGACTCATGAGATCACATCAAACCTTCAAGAGACAAAAACAACAATAAAACAATGAGAAGAAGCAGAAGACGAATAAAGATAGACACATCCACAAGTGTATAAGTAGTAATAGATACTAATACTATGATGGTTTTACCTCTATTTATAATAGTGAGACAATATCATTTCATTTCATTCATCTCAGATTGGTGTTATTCATACAGTGGACACCATTAATGGTCATTAATGATGTATTTCTGTGGGACATAATCCTGCAGCTGGTGAGACTCTGATGTTCAAGGTGTAAATACCTGCGACAGTCCAGTGTACTGACACATGTAAAGAATAGTGAGGTGAACTGAGCATCAGGTGTGTGTGTATGTGTGTGTGTGTGTGTGTGTGTGTGTGTGTGTGTGTGTGTGTGTGTGTGAACAGCTCTCAATATAACATGCAAAGTGCATTTTATCACGTCTCTGTGGCTGTAACCGGTGACATCAGCATCAGCTGGACGCCACCAAACACTTTTAATTAAAGCAGTTTTGTACAAAGGTGTTTTATTGTTTTAGAATCTGTTAATTAATTAAAGTACATCAAAACACAACACCTGTAAAAGATTTAACGTAAACAAGTACAAACTGCCAAAAGTATATGATGCATTTCAGGTGACGGTGTGATAGAGGTAAAGTGTGTATGGTAACACCTGCGGCAGTATTTGGTAAATGTGATTTATATTGCATTGCAGGAAATAATCAGACAAAGAGCTGCCGAGTGTTAAGTCTCGTTACGGACACATTAACAGTTACAGTTTTTTGTGGTGGTTTTGCGATCCTTAAAACCTCAGCAGTGAGATTAAACTTAGTCCTGAGACAGAAGAGAACAAAGAGGAAAAAACTCTTGGTTATTGATTGGAAGGGTTCGTCCTGTCCGGAGCGTGAGGATCCTCTGCAGTGCTCCTACTCTGAATATAAAGAATCTTTTGTTCTTGCTTTTGGCCTGAGACTGAGACGCCAAATTGGAAAGATCTGATCCTCTGGGGAGCGTGAATGTGCTTAGTGTCATTCAAGGCTTTTTTTTTCCTATTCTTATTATTATTCTTATGTCTCTTGAGTATTGGGGGAAAATTTTGGTCTGAGGATGGAAAACGAAAAGGAAAAGAAAGAGATCCGACAAAACTTTCCAACACATCCTCCTGGGACCATGAACATGGAACATGAAATTCTGACAAAAAAAAAAAAGGGTCAGGCGGTAACCATTATTATCAGCTCCAAATGTCACGGCAATGTGGCCAACGTTTGATTAAATATCAAGTTCTGGAGAAAGTTTTGGACAGAGTGACCGACCACTCATCCACATCCTTATTAGGCTCAGCTGCTAAAAGTCTCATCACGTCTGTGGTGTCCAAACTCTAACACAAACCAAAGGCGACTCTGCCGCTCTCTTTCACACACTCACACACTCTCATGTCAACACTGTCCTCCCACCCCGCCTCGCCCTCAGGTCGCCAACCCCCACCCCCCCACCCCCCCTGCTGAATGCTTGTCTGTCAGAATCGCCCTGTGTGCGTTAATCCGGGAGGATTGTGGCGTTGTCTGGTGGCGGCGCTCAGGGCCAGGGATCGCTCTGATTGCTCTGAATGCCCAGTATCCCTCTGTTCTGTCTGCTGTGTTTCTGCTTCGCTGTCACTCACTGTCCTGCCCTACTTTTATCGCCTCTGCGTGTTATTTCCAGTCCCCGGTGTCTAAACAAAAGAGCGTGTTGTTTACAGGTTGCCCGTCAATGGGCAGGATGCTGGAGCTGCTGCATTAACAAATGAGATGCAAAGTGCAGAGCTGCAGTCAGGTTGGGCTTTTAGTAAGACAAACCTTTTTTGAGTAGGCGCAGGTGTTCTGGTGACATTTACATTTTACCGGTCGATTTAAACTTAAACCACAGATGTGGTTGCGTAATAACAGAGCGGAGATCAGGAGGAAAGACAAAAAAGGCACAAGAGGAGGAAGCTGAGACAATGCAGCCTTCACATTCTTGTGATCTAGCCAGTTAGCTTAGCTTTGTAGCTTATCTGACAATCCAAGTTCTAAGAAGTTTTTCCTTTGTTCCCGCTGGTTTGTTTGGTTGATTGATGGACATGAATAAAAATGCCACTGCAGTCCGTGCTCTTGACTTGTCGTGTATTTTCAGGAAATTTTTCTTCTCTGTCATTGTGGCTTGAAGGTGAAAAACTTGCTCTCTAAAAAACACTTCACACACCAAGTAGCACCTTCAAGACACGCTCATCCTGTGCGGGTCGGGGCTGGAGCCAATCCCCGCTGACGCTGACATTTTCAACCCCTCTCTTTTCTTACAGCACTGATTAAATTCCCAAAAAGCGATTCACTTTTGTCCAATAAAAGATGAATAGACATGCTTTAATGTACTTCCTGTAAATACAGATTGCAGGTACAGGTACTTGAAGGACACCCTTGTTACAGTGTGATGTCATAAAGACATTTTGACATTATGTATGTAAACAGGAGTGTCGTGCTGGGGCAGGTGACCTATGGTGGTTTAAGTTGGGAACAAACCACCACCACATACATGAAAATTGTTTTAATTTAAATTCAGTTAGACTGATTTACACCATAAACATATATGTTGCTGAGGGTTCGCGGGGTCGGGTCAAACCTCTGTCCTCAGAGACGAAAACACCAGCTGCCTGAGCAAAATGTCTTCCTGTTCAGGTTCCTGTTTAGACATCTGAAGACCTGCAGTTATTCTAACAATGTTGGCGTGTTGGTGTGTTCAGAGCATGAAGCAGCCGGAGCGCAATAAATCCACACAGCCAGGACCAAGGAAGAAAGAAGGAAAAAATTGTGGTAAATCAACTCAACAGGTAGAACAGTGTGTTCAGCTACAGCCACAATAATAACCAGGCTTTTATAGTTACAAAAGTGTTGTGGAAAGAAACGTGGCTGTTTCTTTCCACAACAGGAGGCCTGGAGGGGATGGGGATTGTTGACTGATGTTTTCTGCACCATAAATCAAAAGTACAGGTGGCTGCATTTTCCAAAACATCACAGTTTATGAAAGAAAAAAGAATGCATCAACTTCTAAAAAAAAAAAGATTATCTTTCAGTTATGAACAGAAAATATCCTGCAGCTTCTTATCACAGCTCTAATCACACCCCATGACATGGCTGCAGATTCAACTGGCATTAAACCCTGAGGACTCTTGGGTCTGCATGGCTCAGGACTGCAGGACAGCATGCTGCACAGTGCTGCACAGTGCTGCACAATACTGTCAGTCATCACCGGGCTCTTGAGCTGCAGCGGGGAAGGGACTTAAAAGCTTGTTGTGTCTCCTCGGCCGCACGCTGCGCTGCTTTCCATACGGGGCGGGGTGGCGCTTACTCCGGCGCACAGAGCGCAGAGCGCACCGTCACCCAGCTGCTCTCCCAGCATCGTCTGCCACCGTCTGACCGGACGACATGGGTCTGGAGAAGGAGAAATCGGACACCAGTATAATTATGGACGAGGATGAGTTCAACAGATCGATAGAGCCCATTCTGTCGAAGAAGGGGAAGGTGTACACAGCGGAACCGGACCGAGATCCAAACGATATCAACGCGCACTTGAAGGTAAAGTCTGCTGCATCGTGCGGAACGAGTCTTTGAAAGTGAAACTACACAAGTTAGCGGCCGCCAAGAGGAATTATCAACTGTTACAACCAGTGTAACCTCATTGTTTTCGTGTCATGAACTTTTAAGATTGGTAATCCCGCAGTGTGAATACCTGGAAGTCGCTGCCTGCGCGTCAACCCATCATCTACATGCAGCTTCCTGCCAGTGTTTCGTGTGTGTTTCATTACTATGTGTTTAAAGCCTAATCTCCCCCCCGATATTCTTGTTGTGATCTGACAGGTCGGGTTTGAAGATGTCATCGCGGAGCCCCTCTCCTCGCACAGCTTCGACAGAGTGTGGATAGGAAGCCACGCCGTGTTCGAGCTGGTCAAATTCATCTTTTACCGCCTGCTGACCACGCTGCTGGCCGTGCCCATGGCTTTCCTCCTCGGACTGGTCTTCGGGGTGCTCAGCTGCATCCACATCTGGTAGGAAGAGGTTCCTCTCGAGCTGCAGGTCTCTCTGGTTGGTGCTGTTTGAAGCCTGGCCAAACGTTGCCCTTTACATGAAATAATTATGTAATAGCATCCAAGCATCACATTAGGTAGGAGCATTACAGTGATGCCGCGAGACCAAAAAATAAACAAAAATGTGGAAAAGAAACATTAAAATGAAAGAGATTATAAATTACAATAGACATATAATACTGGAGGAGTATTTTTGTGACACTGAAAGATATAAAGTGCACATAATAACTTCCAATCGACCTATAAAATATTATATTAATATAAAATTGTGTATGAATTTTCATTAAAGTGCGATCATCTCTATTAAAACCATGTTGTGAGCAGAGAGAAACAGTTAAAAAACCCTGTGGCAACATTACAGGAACATGAGGTGACTCTCCGTCAGGGGCCACAGCTCCTTTCCTGCAGACTCATTCTGAGTCTTTAGGAAAACATTGGCACAAGCTATTTGTACAGTTAACGTCACATGTCGTTTAACATTGAAATATTTTGTCAGCGTACTTATATTTGGATAATTATGTCATGCTTATGTCGGTTAAATGTAGCTGCTGTGAGTTGAACCAGGTGCGTCCAGGCCTCCCAGTGCATACGCAGTACGTTTCCCAAAGAGTCCATTTATTAAAAACTTGATGAAACAACATTTTATGCCACAGAAGCAAAGCGCTCGATGGAAAGTTGGGAGGAATGTTGAGTTGTGTAGTGGAAAAAAAAAAGTAATGGAAAAACGCCCCGTGCCCTTTGCCAGATCGCCGGCATTCTAGTGGCAATTGAAGCCTATTTTCAGACCAGAGTGGGACATTCTTCAGATGCACATGGAGCGATGCTGAGTTACTTTCGCATGACCTTTCACCCCGTAGGTGAGGTCACAAGCTCGAGCTCGACCGCGAAGTGTCCTGAGGGAGGAGGCCACCCTAGGTTATTCAATCAATACAGGACTGAGCGGCGACACTGAGCTGGTCAATGCATCTGGAATGTCAGGAAGGGAGATCAACACAGAGGCGGGGGGGTGGGGGTGGGGTGGGGGTTGGTGGTGGGTGGGTGGTGGGTGCTGCCTGCTGCTTCAATAGGAGGACGCAGCTTTCACCACACACCCTCTTATTTGATATGACACACTGGAGAGAACGGAACAATCAGCAGGAACGCAACAATGTGATGCAATTCTTTTAAGAAAACAGACGGGAACCACGTGACGGATGAGGCAGTGGCAGTTACTGATAAGATAACACAGATATCAGACTTGAATTTGCAACGCGGTTGTAGAAAAATAAGATAAAAATAGGAGAGGAATGTGAGTTTTAAATTAGTGCAAATGCTCCAAAACATAAATATTCATTTCTGGATGATTCCTATTTATATATTGACTCCTAGTTTTTTTCTTCTAATATCTAAATTACTGTGAAGACAAAGTGTTTTCAGACCTTTTAGAGCAACACTGGTATCAACACAGGAGCTAAACAGGTCAAGCGAGGGGTGAAATAGATGCTACATAAATTCAATCACGTGTCCCTGGAATGATTAAAAAAACATTAAAACAAGCAAAAGACAAAAAAGAAATGCAGCCAAAAATCAAAACCATTGAAAACAGTAAACATTTATTGAGCTTATTGTTTCTTAGCAGCTGTTACTTAGTGACCTTTTTGACCTTGTCCTGCCAGGTTGGTGATGCCCCTGATCCACAGCTTCATGATGCTGTTGCCGTCCATCCAGGTGGTGTGGAGGAGTCTGACGGACATGTTCATCAGACCGCTCTTCCACAGCATGGGAAAGAGTCTGTCCTCCATTCAAGTCAGAACCACGGAGAACTGACGCAGACGCCTCTCTGTCCCCCGAGGAGATGGAAACACGGGGCAGATGGGAGTCACTGGAAGAAAAGAAAAAAAAAAAAAAGGAGTGAACGATGCAACTGGGATACGTACATGAGTTTTTATAAAGTCAAATATGAAATTCTGATGAATCCTGTAAACAAGTGTAGAGTTACATACTGCCTTTATTTCAATTTGAATATTCATATTGAAACAACAGTAACCTGTGACCTAGATGCCACAAAATGTCTTTCTTTCTTTTTTTAAAAACCAAATTTAACCAGGTTTGAGACGGAAAGAAACACATGCACGTGGATGTTTATGGTTAATGAACCCTAAATATCACCGTAGGAACATAAGCTGTTATGACAAACAGTTTGAGACTTTATAAGGAGCTCATGTGCACCACCCAAAATGGAGTTGTTTTGCTGATTGTGACCAAAAGAAATTCCTGTCATTCCATCACTTTGTGGCTGAGGGAGATGTGGAGGAGTGTAACTTTATTGTTAAGGCAAACTTACTGCTGACCCCGCTAAGAGATGTAATATTTCTGCTTTTTTTAGACATATATATATATATATATTGTATATAATGCAATGAATTCAGCTAGAAGTTGAATGTAATGAACTGAATCAGAGTAGATAGTCAGAGAGAGATGCTAAGATGCAGCTTGTTGCACATTCGCAGGCTTATTTTATCTGCTGTGTTGATCTCGCAGTGCGTTGGCAATAATACTGGGCATTTGCCTTCATATGCATCTACAGTAGAGCTGTTTTCACACGTTACTGATCGGCTTCCTAATTTATTATTTATGCAACGACCGATTCTTGATTGGGAAACACTGACATTTGGCGGTAACTGACATCAAAGACGTTCACTTCAGTAACTGCAGCGCGACGAAGACGCGTCACATCTCGTGCTGCGTTCGGTTGAAGCTTCGGTAGAACTGAGACTTTGGTACATGCATATTTAATTCAGAGGTGTTTGTTGTTTGCTGCACTGCTGTGAGGTCGTGGGCCGGGTTTTGGAGTATTTCTGCAGCCAGAAGGAATCAGACAGCGACATGATCTTTACCTTTTCCTTGCTGTGGATTTGATAAAGTTGAGTTTTAGGTACAAGCCTGCACAGTTCACCTCTTGCTACGAGCTGTACAATCTGAAATCTAGAAGGTGATAGAGAGAGAATCAGTGTAACAGGTGTCAGCTGCATGCTTATACTGGTTTGTGCTTTCTAGTGGGATTTCAGCTTTTCCAAGTTGCACTTTAATTTTGTCCTTACAAGTGCAAACCCAGCTCTGATAACCAGACACATACTGTAATTTCTAATACCATGTACTGTATCTGTCTTTAATCATTGGAACCAATGTGTATGTTTCATGTGATGGATGCAAACCTGTGCAGCCATAAAAACTTACCATCAATATTTTAAAGCTGCATTCGTTTATTTGAGTGCAGGCTGAAAGACAACCGCTATGGCTAACATGTTAGCAAACAGTTGGCTAATATCACATCCAGCAGATACAGAGCAGCTTCATCATTCATTAAGAGTCATGTTTCTGTTGAGATGGAGAGTCGTCGTTCCAATATTCATTCATTCAGTTCAGGGTTGATGAGAGCGTTGAGATTGAACTGTGCTGGAAATATGGTGTAAAACCAAAACATTCAGCTAAAAGGGGCTAAAAAACAAAAGCACAGTACGGCTGCAAAATTGACAGATGACACGAGAGCTGAGAAAGGCTATATTGCAAATATTTTTTTGTCCTGTTATCGCAAGATAATTATTCCCTTATCTCGACATAACAAAGCTTTGGGATAAAAAAACATTTGCTAGTACGGACTTTCTCAGCTTCCGTACATCAGCACATGTAGGTATTTGATCCAATATAAGTAATATCGATTGATAGTGGAGCTTTAAACTTACAGCTAACACTGGTCACGGTTAAATCGTCATGGCCGGATCTGCTTGTTTGTGCACTTACTCACTAAAACAAAGAGCTGTGATCATTGGAGAAAGTGTTATTGTACTATTCCAACATTAAGTGGACTAACTTTTCATTTCAATAAGTAAAGGTGAAATAAATCACTGTACTAAAATGTTGACTGTTTCAGAACGCGCATATGAACCTATAACTCTTTGGGTTGTCATCCAGATTTTCCAGAAAGAAAGGAGCACAATTCATGCAACTCATATTTGCATTTTTGATAATTCCAACCTGTTGCTCAACATTGCTGCAAGCTACCCAGCTGAACCTCGACAGCAGAGAGTCAGACAGACGTCTGACACTGCATGAGGTGATGTTTTGTTTCCAGCAGCTCTGTCACAGCTTTTTTTTTTTTTTAATCCTTTCACTGGTGTTTAACTGTTGACAAGCCACCAGACAGCCAACCAGAGGAAATTAGAGGTAGTTGTTGCGCAATAGAGGAAAAACACAGGTGTGTGGATAAAGCTTTTTCTCTCCTCAGCATGACATGTAGCACTAAACATCCTCCGCTCAGCCCAGCTATCCTTCAAATGTCATATATCTTTATTAGACAAATAAATCATAGTGTGACCTGCATCTGTCCGTTAAAAATAATACTTTTATTTGTCTGCATGTTATGTACTCAATCATTTTTTAAGCTGTAGCTTTACTCAGACTCTGGATTACTTCAACAAGCCAGATGTGACCAGAATAAAGACATTTTTTTTTTCCTCAAGGTAATTTTTCTGTACGTGGTTCCTTCTTTCTGTCAGAGAAGATGAGTGTGGTTGGGACGTGCAGCTGAGTGCCAGAGAGGTCTCGTAAATCACTTTGCTGAGATTGCATAAGACACTTTCCTATACAAAGATGAGCTGTGGGTCGATGGAACATGACCCGAGGCTTTGCTTTTGGACCTGCAGGCCTGCACAGCATTTCTACCTGTTACACTCCTCTAACCCCTCTGCAGTTTATCACTTAACACTTCCCTCCACCCAGTAAGGTTTAGTATATTTCTGCTCATTTATCGATATGTGAACAGTGCTTCACTTTAACCATCAATAGCCAGACACAGAACACAAGCAGCAGCTGCCTGCGAGGGTCAACTGAGTCCAAACCGCAAACCAAAGCATGAACTGTTATTGACTCGCATTTTCAAAATAAAAAACAAAATAACACAAAAAAACATTTTTGTCATTTTTGCACTGTGAAGCTCAGCTGCTCTGACTTGCATTGCTGCTTCTGACTCAAAAATACTTACACCGGGGCGCCCCGGTGGCTCAACCAGGCAGAGCACATAACATGAAGGTTTAGTCTGAAAAGCAAAGGCCCTTTGCTGCATGTTTTATATATATATATATATGACAAGCATGTTGTTGTTTTTTTTGTTTTGTTTTTTTTTATTTATCTTAAAAGGAAAATGGGTGTTATTGCCAGTTATTGATAAGATTCAGTTTCTGTTTGGTTGATGTTAAGGTAAATTAGGATTTATTAAATATTTTTTTGTGCATCTATATAAGATTTACCATTCGATTTTTCATAGTCGTTTAGAAAGTGATGTACTTCACAGTTAATATATATTTTATAAAATGTTACTTTATTACTGAGAAGGTTTAATACCAATTTTGTTTAATTTGGAGAGTTAATCTGAAGGAGTGTGATTTCCGGTTGACCTCTAGGAGGTCACGGAAAAAAGGAGTTGGTCGAGGGAGATACACCTGATGACGAACACGGACTATTAAGTGTTTACCGATTAATTTTGTTATGCTGAACTGCGGACAGTTTGCTAGTTAACTGGCTCCTCTGTGTGTGTGACTTTGAGACTGTTAGCGGTCAACGAGTTATGTTTTTTCTTTCACTGTGGAGTGAGCTAGCTTGATTAGCTAGCTGAGCTGCCGCCATTGTGCGAGAGACAGCCGCCTTCTCCACCTGCACGGACTCGGGAGGAGCTTCAGCAGTCGCCCCCTAATTAGCTAGCTTGATTAGCTAGCTGAGCTGCCGCCATTGTGGGAGAGACAGCCGCCTTCTCCACCTGCACGGACTCGGGAGGAGCCTCAGCGGGCTTCACGGAAGGATTTGCTCGACGCTGAGGACGGTTTATCAGATGAGTGTGACGGCATGTGTTTCCTTCAGACGTGGTAGGGTTCAATCTCACTCCATGCGACTGTTTTTGTTTCTCAACGAGCTCCACCGTTTAAGCGCGCCAACGAACCTTAATGCAAAAATGTGTGTGGGGGGGATTTTTCACAGTATATGCTGAGTAATTGATAAAAGAATTCACATATTTCTGTAGTAACATCACCACGACTTATTAAAGCCAGGATTGTTCCTTTAGCCTCTCAGTAGTCATTAGAGAGAGAGTGAGAATCATACTATAACCTAGACTTGTATATTATTCAATGAAATGTGTCTTTCACCATTTTACTAAGTTTGAAGGGGGTTTAATACATTATTAAGTTCTCCCAATGCATGTAAGAAAACAATAATTACAACTACTGCTGCTATGACTTCCAGACGTGTTATCATTACAATAATAGACCTACTAGTACCACCCTGAGACACTCAACTCAGGGAACAATGGTCCATACTGTAAAGTGCTCAGCATTTGACCCTGACCTTTGACCTCCGGCCTTCCTTTAGAATGGCAAGCACGCAGGACTTAAAGTAGTAATAGTAAGGATAATATAATAATAAAATTATGCAAATTATAATGCTACCAATGCTCACAGTGAAACTACTATCACCACAGTGCAAATACTGTTGCAGCTCAGAGAACTACATCTATTACAACTACTGTTACTATGGTTACTACTGCTGCTATTAGTGATGTTTTGTTTTTACAAGTACTTTCTGAACTGTCTTTACCATTATTGCTGTAGTAATGTTATTTCACTGCTATTATAGGCTAAAGTTCTTCCTGCTAACACTGCCCCTGTGGTTAAATTGGGTAAACAGCTGCTTATTGTTGTTTCCTATCACTACTACAACAAAATTAATGAATTACTATGACTCCTGTTATTACACAGCACTATTATACATCACTCAGTGCTGCCTTTGCTACTGCTAAATTACTGCTGTTCATACAGACACTCCCTGCTTGACAGGCCCTTGCTAAACATAGCACCTGTAAAAGATGCATCACATCCTGTGTGTCAGTTAATGTGCACCTGATACTAAATCACATGTTGTGTGCAAATTAGTTCTTTGTCTGCATTGTGTTTGTTTCAGTCAGTAAATTAGTCACAATTAACTGCAGTTAACCATCATCATAAGCCTTTAATGAATCCAGTCCGTACAGCCTTTGTCATGCTGCATGAAGTCATTATTATCCCTTTTGAATGTGAATGTATTTGATGTTTCGGTTGTTTTAAAAGAGCAGTCATCTTTTTTTCCAAGGTCACAAAAGTGTCATTCACATGTTGAGCATTTACAGCTTTTCCAGTGGCGTCATCCACACTGAAAACTCCGCTGGCACAGGGGACAGAATCAGCTGTTTTAGAACCTGTTGGTCCAATCATAAACTGAAACCTCAACCTAACGTTCCCACAGATCCTGTTCTGCCATGGAGCCTTGATTCACTCTCATTTTAAAGTGATGTGGTGTTGTGATGGTGAAGGCCTCATGTTGGCAGCACTCTCCACATCCTGTAGCCTGACACCTCACAATGTTGTTATATCAACATCAAGTCTTATGATGATTTTGATGATGACTGCTTATGACGTTAACGCAAGGATCAATGATGTTTGGTATCAAATGATTATCTTTATTTTCATTAAATTTCGAATCATTGAAGCTGTTTATTTATTGCAAAAACAATATTTCAAATACTATACAATATATTTACAGTTATGTCAGGTCAGGGACTGCTGATGTAGCTGCCTCGACAGCGGCATATCTGTTTGAAACAGGTGCTCATTTGGTTATTTTGATCTGTGTTCAGCGCCACACGCAGTGAAGTAAAGAAGATTAGGTTTATTTAACCTTTCCAGAGCACACGTGCACAAAGCGTCAGTTAAAGAGAGAAGCAACAGCAAAGATTCACTTGCACTTTCACTTAATCTAATATTTGAATCAGAATCAGCAGAATCAATAAACCTTCTTGTGCCCTCAGTTTCTGTGTATTTACTTATAGAAAGGAATGGAATATCATGCACAAATGTTTTGGCTAATGCGTCCCTCACTGTGCAGGTTGAGTGATTTATTATTATTATAGAACAGGAACAAAGAAATGGGAAAGGTGAAGCAAGTTTCCAAAGAAAAGGTGTGGTAACACAGATATAGAAGGTCGGAGTCAGAAAGGACTAACAATCAGCTCGTATGAATGGTTCCTAATGACTTCATTAATTCTTAATAAATCGTTTACCAATTCTTGATGGATCAGTTATAACTTGTTATGAAGAACATCTTACCAGGTCATAAAAAAATCCCTTTGGCTGGTGTTTATTATATTATATTACATTATTAGATACAGAGAAAATCATGAGCAATCATAATGGATTAGCAATATTTATAACTGCAGTATTGCCTAATAAAGAAGGGAAACGAACCAAGCCGAACTGATTTCTCACAACCTGGCAACAAAAGTTTTTATTAATAGTTTATATCTATTATGTTTTCTGTTATGAGTTATTAATTACAACTAATAATGCATTTGTAAAGGGTATCTTATCACAGAATCTATAGAAGCTTGCATAAGACATCTAAGAGTTATTCCTAAATTGACATAACGCATAAAATACTTAACACAATAGTCAACTTCAAGTGTATTAGAAAACAAAAACTGGACATGAGCCAAAACTCCCTGATCATGTTTCTTTGTACTGAATAAAAAGCAAATGAAATGATTGTTTTCAGTCTGTAAAAGAAGTGAAAACACCTTCTCAGACGTTCAGGGTCGCACCCATCACACACAGACACACACACACACACACACACAAATTGCACCTATCGCATCTACTGGCATAAAATCAGCTGAGTGTGCCAGCTGGTGTCACTCCAAGGTGAGTAAGAATGTAAACAGACCAGAACGACCAGCATGGCTTCCCAACCTCATAAAGCTAAAAACAACAGTAACCATATCCAGGTTTAAAGTATTAGTTTGGACTAAGCAGCTGGTGATAGGCAGGACTTTGCTGAAACAGCCAAATGAATTCTGGTTGGTCCTGAAAACTCCTTTAATTTGATTTATTTATTGATTGATGGCTTTTTTAATCCGTTATAACCACTTTAATTGGTCTCACTGGAACTAAGGTGCAGCACGTAAGGATCCACACCTTGTTGTGGTTATTATTCTCTGCCATGATCCCCAAATAAAGTAATTCCACACAAGTTACAACAGCCTTTCAGTCTGAGATCACGTCAGTCTCTCCTCCAGCCGGGCAGGTTAAACTGTGGCTCTGCCGTCTCAGCTCACAGGTGACTCCCGGGCTGCGAAGAGCTCGCTCCAGAGACCAGAGGGAACACCGGAGGTTTCCCCTCACTGCTCTGGCATTAAATTCCACTCACGTTCACCGAAAAGGGCAGGAATTAGATCACTGCAGGTTCCTGAGAGGAGCCCCGGTCCACTCAGTGTTGCCTCCACGCCTCCCACACAGCTTCCTATATTGTCTTCTAGTCTTGTTTCACCGCGGTAATCTGTTCAAACTTGAGGAACAGCATGACAGGAGGACTGAAGGACGGCGAAACAGAGGAGGTACAGTATGACTCCTTTTACTGCTGGCCCTAGTTTTTGGTGAATGCAGACACGGATTTGTCCTCATCAAGGAGCTGATTGTTCTCGCTCCTTATCTCTATCCATGAAGGAAATTTTGATATTTGTTCCAGCGTCTGTCTTTGTTTTTTTTTGTTTTTTTTTTCTTTTCTGGCACCTAGTCATGAACGCGTCTCCCACACCAAGTGAGGGAATGTGAAGAACCATTCAGTGCGCATTAACATAGGAGCGTGAGCTTTTACCTGCTAAAACAGTCTTTAACGCAGTAACCGGTTATTGTTTTACGCATCAAATTAGACTTCACATTTTCGTGCGTAAAAGCGCAAAGAAGAATAAACCCACAAACTTTTTTCCCATGTAAGATTTCAGTCATGAATCACGCACGTGCTTTAACAACGACTAATGAAGCCATATGGTTGTGCGTATTAACGAGTGCGCGTGAAAGACTCACATGTAGGGCTGTGGGGACCAAAGGAGTCTTTACGCACACGCTTTTTAAAGCGATGGACACGGAAACCAAACATGTTTCTGCATTAAATATGAACATATATTCACAAGTCGGATAACAAATATAGATGATAAACTCTATTCGTTTATAAATAACAAAAAATATCTTATATTCAGAAAAGAGAGAAGTTGTTCTTATTTGGAATATGCGCTTTTACGCATGTCTTAAAACTGTTGCCATGCACACAGGTACATGTTATTAAATAAACTGTCAGGATATTAGATTTCTTTCTGGGTGGTGAGGACCCCTTGCGGCTGGTTCGAGGGGTGTGGTGCTTCACTTTCTATTCATTTAAACCCATCCCTGTTTGTAGGGCAGGCTGGTAACTCGCAGCTCCAGTCTCTCTCCCTCTCAGCGTACTGCACACTATCCCTCCTCCTCCGCCTCCTCCTCACTCTCTTCTTTTTCTGCCTCCTCCGGATCCTGACAGGAGTTTCTGCATTCGCCGTTCATCCGAAAGCAAGGGAACATATACAAACCCAACAATAAAGACATGGACAACGACAGTCTGAACGAGAAGACGATGGAGGATATCCACACCAAAGAGATCGACCTGGTCAACCGGGACCCCAAGCACATAAACGACGACGTTGTCAAGGTGAGTCAAACCTGGATGGCTGTTAACTTTTGAGCTTTAAATTTTGGGGGTTAAGGTGCGAGCTTTCGGTCTATTTTGCGGCACCTGAAACCGTAACTTCAACAGAACACCTGTTGCAGAGTTTGCACTTTATTTGTTTCTAAGTGGACTCGCCTCACAATCACAGTAAACTGAAATAAACGGAGCACCGAAGTGTATGAGCTGTCAAACTGGTGTTATGTGCGGCTGTGCGCGTCAGAGGCGCATTCGGTTCTCTGTGCGCACAAGTTGCGCGCTGCTTTTCCAGTTGTGTTACTTTCCCCCCCCATTAGGAAGAGGTTTTGCAGATGTACTAAAACTCACTGTGGCGAGACAATGGCAAACATTCACACGCGTAAATGTCTGTGCGTCTGTCAGAGCAGCGGACTTGGAAACGTGAACATCCTCGCTCCAACAGAGGAAACATTACGAATTTCCTGTTGTTGGAACACACGTTTCCCACAGTCCTTGTAGCTCACGCCTTGCTGTTGGGAAAGTAGAATTCTTTCCAGAAGAGAGCAGCCCGGCCGCATAAATACCGAGTGTTTATTTTGTTTAAAGTTAACACAGGGGGAGAGTTTATAGCAGCAGAGTAGTGGCGCGCTGGAAGCCACCTGACGCGTCTGCATGGCAGCAGTCTGAGCCCGGCCGCCCTCCTCTCCAGCTGGGGCAGGTTTTTTACATCAGAGTGGGGTCAAACGGCTCCCCGCGTGGGACAGGAGGGTGAGCTCTTTGAAATGCCTGAACTCTTTACTCTCTGCCTTATTAAAACAGTGAAACACCCAAGTTGCTAGTTAGTCTGAGGGGATATCCCTCACCACTCCCCACATCTCTCCTCCCTTCTTTCCTCCCATTCTGCTCCCTCCCTCCCTTCCTCCCTACATTCCTGTAGTTGCGTCAGGGTAGCAAATATCCATGTGTTGCTTTCTATTGGTCCCTGTCCGCTTCCAAATGATAAGTGACAGTCTGGCTTTATTGATTTTGTTGATTGGAAAGATACTCCTCGCAGATGGAGTGATTAGAAGGCTGCTGCCTGTCATGAGATTCAGTTCAGTTCAGTTCAATGAAGCTTTATTGGCAAAATAAAGACATAAACCGAGTAAATGCATTTTACAAACATACATGCCTACTGTGTACTGTCTTCCTCATATGTGAAATGCTATTTCACATGAGATGCCCTACATCATTGGTGCAATGATTGAAAACCACATGTGAAACCAATATGTAAATTTCCCCATGTGACATATTGTTTCACATGAGATAAACATATGAAAGGTACAGTTTGGGTATTGTAGTATTTAAAAAAGGAAAGTGTGTTGCCAATGGTCACCATCTCTGCCTCATGAACAGTTTTAAAAAGGAGAGTTTGGATTATCTTATTCTCCCTGAACAGAAGCAAAGACTTTTTGGGAATATGAATTTGGTGGAAATTTTCATTTTCTTCATTTTATCTTTTAAGCACTCTTTAAGAAAATGAACTTCCCCATTTTCTTCTGCCTCTCTCTCTCTCTCTCTCTCTCTCTCTCTCTCTCTCTCTCTCTCTCTCTCTCTCTCTCTGTCTCTCCACGTCTTCCACCGCTCGCTGCTTTCTCTCCCTCCCCGTTCTCCTCCATTGTGACAGTGAGTCAGACTCTCCTTCCAGTCTCAGAATAGAATGCAGCTTTATGATTGGCCCACCCCTCTCTAATCAACTCAACAGACCGCTGGTGAAATTATCTGAAATCACATGCGGGTGCACTGTAAAAATTAAAACTGCTGCGAGGAAACGTTGAAAGGCTGAGACTCTAAACTTGTCACCAGAGCTGGAAAGTTACTAAGTACATTTTGCAAGACGTGCAAACTATTAACTAACTTAATGTTGATCTACTGCAATCCAAAGATTTATCTGACAGCTGCAGTTACTAGTAATACGGTTTGAATATGTATTAAATAATAGCATTAGCAAGCACTACAACATCAAAATGCTACTTACATCATAATGGATTAGTTATGATAATTCAATATTATAATACATAATAAAGCTGGCAGGGGCCATTGTGTCTTCATGAAGAACAGTTTTACTTTTGATACTCAAAGTTTGTCTTTCCGATACCTACTTTCTACATTAAAATGTACCTTTGCGTTTCATGGAGTGGTTTTACATTGTGGTATTGTATAGAATCTTAATACTCCATTTACTGCTCTTTGTAATAACTGTATACCACAAACGAGACAGTTCTTTAAACGAGCCATTTGTAGGTTTTGCTATTGCTACATAGCTAACGTTAGCATTAACAGCTGTTTACTTACCAGTCTAGAAGAAACGTTGCGAGTTCAGCATCAAACTTCATTCTTTTACCCACCAACAGCTGTCTCCAGAGGTGGAAAGCAAAGCTAATGTTTTGCTTCTATTTCTATCACTTCTTTTCTTCTACTGACGTTACCATGCCAACCAGCTAGCCTGATCGGACTGTCTTGTCACTTTCCGATACTGAGTCACTGTAACGTCCGGGCTTCCCAGAAAAGGTAGCGCTCCTCAGAAGGTGTATTTTAACCTCTTGTGTCGTAAATGCAACAATGGCTGAAGCTCTTGCCAAGATTGGTAAGCAAACAGCTGCTAATGCTAACGCTAGCTGTGTAGCAATCGCAAAACTTACAAATATCTCCTTTTAAAGAAATTCCCCTCGTGCAGACTTAACAAACTCCAACAGTATTTTGAGGAGCTTGTGACACATATAGATCAGGGCCTCCCTCTGGATTTCAGAACAAACGATCCTGTGGTTTTTACAGTGTGCTGCATACAGTGGCTTTGAGGTGCTTTGAGGTCAATGGAACAGTTCTGCCAAGTGGAAGCGTGTGTTTGGTGTGCCCCAATGAAAAGCACAAGCAGAGGGAATCCCTTCCAGCAATCCTCATCCTGCAATCCCTCCGTGACCACACACACACACCCCCCACACACGGTGCTCACACGTTAATGTGTGTAGTGTGTATTCAGACAATATTATATATTGAGTGGATGCGCGCGCACGCACACGCACACACACATACACACGCATGTGCACTGCATTCTTACAATCAAAGGAATACAAGCTGCTCTCCTGTAGCTGCTGCAGCTGGCCTCAATCACCTGGCCACATCAAACAAGTTCCATTACTGACATGCATGTGGCGTCAGCCCTGCGAAGAGAGTTTTTTTTTTTCCCTCTGGAGGAGTCGTGGGTCTTTATATAGCAGAGAGGAGGAGCTTGAGTCCAATAGTCAGAGTGGAGTGAAAATGCCCCCACTGGAGAAAATTTTTGAGAGGGAGTTGTGAGAAGTTTGAGCTCCAGCATCAGAGCCAGCAGGTCCTGAGGGTCAAACTGTAAGGAATGAAACACTCCCTCTGGGGCTACAAAGCTTATGATTGGTTGACTGCCAATCATTTCTTTTTTTTTTTTACTTGGCTGCCTCATTCTGGATGTTTTTCTGATTATCGATTTATTAATGTGTGAAAAAAAGTTTTGATGATGTCTGTCTTTTTATCTGGACTAAACGATTATACATTCCTCTGTGGGTTGAGACATCTGGTGCTTATGAAACTCATTGCAGAGAAATTTGTTTCCATCCAAATGTCATGCAAATTTAACAAGAACTGATGATGCATGTATATCTCAAAAATATATGCAAAGCTGTGTTGCATTTTTTTTAAAGGTCCCATATTTTACACTTTCCCTGTGTTTTATTTGAAGTGCTGCTCTGTAATTTGTGGCTTTAAGAACCAAAAACCATCTCCATGTAGTTTTACACCTCCTAACTCAGGCTTCTCTCTGGAGCTCTAGTAACAACAGGTCGGTGACAGGTAAACACTCAGAGAGACCAAATCTTGCAAGGTTGGATGGTGGGTCCGGATGGGCTGGGCTTGGGGCATTTTTGAGAGCAGTGACTGCTTTGTTATGACATCACAAAGTTACAGGAAGTCCTGACGGCTCATTTTAAGGCTCAGTTTCTGAATACAGGCTGTGTGCGTTTCTCTGTGGACTGAGGCTTTGATACTTTCTGAATAATCATTTAGAACCTAGACCTGCTTTATAATTAAAAAAAAAAGATATGGACGTCTACCTTTATACTATATCGGACCTTTAAATAGTTTACCAGGTCAGTGAGTCACAGATTTAATATGATATTTTATGAGGATGACAGTGTTAGATGGAAAACAACTCCTGTTTTAATTAGTGAAACGTTCCTTTGTCTGTTCCCGTTGGTCATCTATGTCTCTGCTGCCAATCATCCTAATCTCTCCCCTGAACCAAAGCAAACATTTCCCCTGACTACCAAAGCCCTCGAAGCAACAAAAGAGTCCATTAATGCAGCACACTCTGACCTTCTCCTCCAGAGACCCACTTTGTCTATTCAAGCATAGTTGACAGCCTTGAGATGGAGCTCTAGAAATAGCACATCGCCTTATTTACTCAATACTACAGTTGCCTTGCCGACTGGTCACATGCCGACCCCGAGACTCCATTGTTTCATATCAAACCTCTGATATGACCACAGAGGTCCACTCTTTGACTCATAACGCAGCTGCTGTAGTTAAAGTATAAAAAGTATATTTTGATTTCTGTGATTTTTTTTTTTGTTGTTTTTTTTAACCACAGTAATGTAAAAATCCAAATGAATAAAATAGTATTTTACAAAAGGAGTCTCCTCATAATGTTACTTACCCAACAAGTATTTAGAAAACTGAAAACGCTGGAAAGAAAATAGCAACAAACAGCTTCACTTCATGAAGTCTGAAACTCTCCGCCATGCTGCTGTGGTTGTGTTTGTGCCGCTCTGCAGAAGGCTCTCATTTAGTCTCAATCAAAGTTCTGGAAACTGGCGCAGAGTGGGTCCACTTTAAAATTTGTAGCTGTGGAAAAATTAAATGGACGCCACACTGGTTTTGTGGCTGCAGTTAGATTTATATTATAAGGCTGCAGTGAGTCCCGCCAGTCGGTGCTGTGAGAGAGGCTTTATGCTGCAGCTTGGGAGTAAAAGAATTGCACTTACAAGCTGCTGTTTCAAGGCAAAAAAAAAAAAATGTAACTGCTGGGATATTGGAAGAGCTCTGCTCCAAAGTAAAACATCCAGGGTTGGAAAACATGATGTTTACTAAGAGCATGCAATTAAGCCCTGAGATATGTTGTACACTTATTTGTGAAAATTATATCACAAATAGTGTATTACATATAAGGGTTGTTAGAATAAAGTTTTTTATATATTATAAATGCAATTTGGCCTTAACATAAATAAATATATGTGTTTTCAATATAATGATTATTGTTAATGCTACACTGCTACACTGAGATGTTTATCTTAGCTTAGCTTAGTTTAGCATAAAATCTGGAAATAGTCTTTATGCCAAGACAGTGTAAAAACACAAACAGGATGTATCATGTTAATCACTGTGCTTCAGATTAGCTGGTATCTAGGTGGATTTTTTGACCTTTGCACAGAGCCAGGATGACTGTTTACTCTTGCTTCTGGTCTTTATGCTAATGTAAGCTAAGCTAACCAGCTGCTGGATCCTGCTTAATATTTAACAGACACATATGAGAGTGGCATCAATCTTCTCATCTAACTTTAAGCAAAGAAGCAAGTATTCCCTCAGTAAGATGGAGAGCTTTGCAGTCTATACAATTTAAATAATGAGAATAATCTCTATTTAAATGTGTTTATATGACATTACAAATTAGAAACTGATTAAGATCTAAGATGGTGAGCTTATAAACCATAATGTGCTGTTTCTGAATGTCAGGAGTCAGTTTGTGTTAAGTGGGCATCACGTCCTCCAAACAGTGGATAGTCTCACTCGGACGAAGCACTTCACTTTTCCATTTGACCATCAGTGTGACACTGGATAATATCTACGTGACTTATTGGTATTACAGCCATTAACAGCCAGTAGTCCCAACTGGTGTGTTAGACAAGACACAGTCTCTAAGTAACTGTAAAATAAATATTGAACCTGCGCTCCGAAGCCTGTGGAGAGGACGAGAGAGGGAGCGAGGGAGAGGCTGCATTGTGTTTACAGTGCGTGAGTTGCCATTTGTCGCTCCATTTCTTAAACTGCGCTGGTCAGGTCATGGAGTCTTGCAGGGATCGTCCCATTAAAGGCCTGAGAGATGTGTTTACAGTGAGGATAAGCACAATGTCCTGGTTCAACTTAATGTTGAGGAGGAGGAGGGGTCCCACAGATCACTTGTTGATCAAACACTGTCAGCGGACCAGATGACCATCACTGATGATCACACTGACCTTGGAAGTTTTCCTCCACGCAAACCAGAAAATGTGAACCACATCACAGGATTTTTTTCCTAAAGAAAGACGTGCCACACACTGAGTGTTTAGAGCAGCGATTATAAAAGCTTACAGGAACTGGATTTAGCCTGATAATTATTTAGATATATCAGACAGTGACACGGTCCTCTTAAACCACCAGTCAACCACAGTCCTCACAGTGTTTCACTGGCTACATCTGGCCCATCTCTATCTATCTATCTATCTATCTATCTATAGTGGAGGGAAAAGTTTTCAAGACACTCTGGAGACTAAAATCCTTGACATGATTTGCAAATAGCGAAACAGATTCCAGACATAGCGTTTTGTGGTAATCAGTATTTTGGGTGGGGCAGATGTTGGAAGTTAGACTGTGTACCAGTCACTGCGAGGGGAGAGGTAGAACCGACATGTTACTGTTACAGTGAGTGAAGCAGCTGATTTATGGTGAAAATAATACATTTAGATTTAAAGGACTGTAGAGTTGGCGTGATGGTTTCCTGTGGACCACATCAGGACCGTTGGGAAATAACTGTTTGCAATGGATGGAGGCGTTTGAGGGGTTATAATGATGTGGAGGTGTTTTCTGTTTACTGGAAAGTACCATTTATTTCCTGTTTATGACGGTTACACTTCTTTATTATTCAGACTACGTCTTTAGTAGAAATACTTCAAAGCAATACTGTGAATGTGGAAGAAAATCTAATTTCTAACCACAGAGGTATAACTTTAACCGACATCTGATGTCACTGTTGTCTGAATTACTTTATATTAAATCTGTCAGTGGCTTTTGCATCTTCCTGCTTTCTGTTTGTAAATGAAAGGCTGATTCGTCCCCCGTGACCATCATACTTTTTGTCACCAGGGAGCCATTTCTCCAGTTTACTCCTTTTTGTGCTTGTGCCGTTTGAGGTCATGGGCCGCTAACCGTCACATAAAAGCCATTCCAAGAAATGTGATTAATCAAATGATTGAGATGTTATTTGACCTGCATTTTAATTGCCAAGTTCAGCCTTGACTTTATAAAAAAGATTTAAAGGAGCTATTTGTTAAGTTTTGCTATTGCTACATAGCTAACATTAGCATTAACAGCTGTTTACTTACCAGTTTAGAAGAAACTTTGTGAGTTCGGCATCAAACTTCATTCTTTTACTCGCCGGTGGTGGAAAGTAACGCCAAAGTTAACTCTTGTCTCTTATCACACATTTTCTTCTACTGAAGTTAGCATGCTAACTAGCTAGCTCCAGCATGTCTCGTCACTTTCCAATAGCAACTCATTGCAGCCTCCAATCTGCCCTGGAATAGTAGTGCTCCTTAGAGAACGTATTTTAACCAATTATATTGTAAAAACAACAATGACTGAAGCTCTTGTCAAGTGACAATAAAGACCACCTGCTCCCAGGAGGAAACTGTGTTCGATGGCAGAGTAAACTTACAAATATCCTCTTTAAAGGAGCTGAAACCTTGGCGTGTATGACGTACACAACTCGGCAAGTTGTGTATGAAAATTTTCGCTGACTTTACGAGTTCTTATTCCGACTTGAGAGGTTGTTCACGTGAATTTTCTCAGTCAGAAACCACATTTTTCCAATTATTCCGACACCACATGAATGCAGTGTAAGAAGCTAATTGGTTAATAGGTTTCTAGAGCTTTCAGTCGTTTTCTCACCGTTTCTCTTTCTTCCTCTTCAGGTGGACTTCGAAGACGTGATTGCCGAGCCTGCAGGAACCTACAGCTTCGACGGCGTGTGGAAAGCCAGCTTCACCACCTTCACCGTCACCAAGTACTGGTGTTACCGACTGCTGACGGCGCTGGTCGGCATCCCCCTGGCGCTGATCTGGGGAATCTTCTTCGCCATCCTGTCCTTCCTGCACATCTGGGCCGTGGTGCCGTGCGTCAAGAGCTACCTGATCGAGATCCACTGCGTCAGTCGCGTCTACTCCATCTGCGTGCACACCTTCTGCGACCCGCTGTTCGAGGCTATGGGCAAGTGCTTCAGCAGCATCCGGGTCCGCATGTCCAAGGAGGTGTAACGTCCAAAATAAAAAGAGGAGGAGGAGGATTAACGGAAAGAGGGGAGGGAGGAGGGGAGGGCTCGAGCAACACAAATGACAAAAAGTCGGAACGGAAAGGAAGAAGAAAAAAATGGACCTCTGGAAAACGAGAAGTGAGGCGTTTCCAGAGCTGGGCGGGGCATGTTTGGAGGTGAAGGGGCGTGGCCATCGCCCTTTTCCACCAACTGTTCTTTCTCACCAGTGTTGGCGTAACCAAATGGGTGGGGCAGGGAGGGGGGAGGGGGACACAGGAAATCAAAGGGTCATTCTCCTGGGTTTTTGTTGTTGTTTTGTTTGTGTTCGATAGTTTTTTTTTTTTTATTCTTCACTGTTATTGTCAAGCAGGCAACCAAGCTCCATATCTGTCTTCTGTTAGTTTTGCCACATGATGTTAAGTCCTTCCATTCTTACTGTTTCTGTGGAGAGCTCATCACTTCGACTGATTCACGTGAAGAGGGGATGTCAGAGTGTATCGCCGTCTTCTCTTGCGCTTGTTTGTGTTTGTTGTTTTTGGAGCCTCTGGGCGGGGCGGGATGGTGGGATGCAAGAGTTGGAGTTGGGAGGGTCAAAGCATAGAGAGAGAGAGAGAAAGAGAGAGAGAGAGAGAGAGAGGCCGCTGCCAAATTCTGTCTGACTCGGAAAAAAAAAAAAACAAAACAAAACAACCCCACAAGCCGAGCAGCAACGGCAAACGCCCCTCCCCTCGGGCCCCACATGACCTCCAAGCCACCAAAAAACAACCTCCCACCTCCCGCCCCTCCCCACCCCCTTCGCCCTGCTTCCCCAGCAGTCTGACACACTGAACCTGCCCTCGTTCCTGCATGCACCTGCGTCACCTTGCCAGCAACTCGCCGTCCACCACCGCCACGCCTGCCTGCCTGCCTGCCTGCCTGCCTGCGCCTGCCACGCCGCCCGATGATGCAGCGACGATTTGCATCTCGGCTCGCTCCCTCTCTGCCTCAGCTTCTTACTTCGCCTCAAACAAAAACCTTTCAGTGCAGGTTTCATCACCATCATCCTCATCATCACATGAGCGTGTGACAGAGAATGTCAGCATTTGAATTTGACTAAAACTATTATTTTTTCACTCCACGTTAGACCTTTTATTTTTCAGTGAAGCTCAGTGCTTTTGGATGCGCACCATTGCAGCTCCGTAGTGAATGCTTTTTAAAAAAAATTTTTATCTACACTATAAAAATGAAGAACTTTGAGGGCTTAGTTTCAGTGCCATTTTTTTTTTTTTGATATCCTACATGTACTGTATGGGTGTTTGTGCAGAAAATACAGCTTCACAAGCTATGGCCTCATTCCAGTGCACTAATCTATGGAAAAGTATTGTAAGTGAATAGCACTAATGAAAATCTCTATAACTCATTTTGCAAAGGTAGTAGAGTACTAACAGCTACTTTTGCACACTTTGCACTTCAGATGTGCAGTTACGAGCGTGTGCGCGCGCGTGTGTGTGTGTGTGTGCGTGTGTGTGTGTGTGTGTGGAGATTTTTCTTGGGCACTGTGGTACTTACGCAGGTTAATGCATTGGAATAAAGACAATGTGAGGTGGAATGTGTGATTCTGGATGCATTTTTTGTTTTGTTTTGTTTTGTTTTGTTACCTGGTCATAGTTTTTGCACCCACCCCACCCCCCCTTGTTTGTACTTCCCCTGATTTGTTCTGCTGCCCTGCTTCTTGACTGTGGACACGATGCTGAAAGGCATCAAACCGACGCCTCCCACACCCCCCACCCCTCCCTCCCCAGTGATGGGTGGGGTTGGAGTGGGGTGGGTGGGTGGGGGGGGGCGGGTTCTGTTTTATAGAGACACTAAGCTCGCTTTGACTCCGTCACCTTCAGTCTACCTGCTGTCTTTTCACAGGGATGGTAATATCATAGCACCTGTTTCTTGAAATGAGTATTTTAAGCTCAGAAAGGTGATATTTTTATAAAAGTGATTTTGTTTTTTCCTTCCTTGCTTTTACTGTATAATATAACGCTGTGCACATTAAAAAAAAATTTAATATAATCCAGTGTTCATTTGTTTTTGTTTTGTTTTTTTCGCCTACAGTTTCATGACCAGGATGGATCACTAGCATGTGCCTCTAGATGAAAGTCAGATACTAACAAAGGAATATTTGTTCGGTTTTTTTTTCTTACTTGTGATATTGAGTCATAGCAAATCTAATTGTGTAATGATCCTCAGTAGATACTTGGAGACTGGTTTCATTCATGTGTACTGCAGGGACGAGCCAGTCGAAGCTACATGTGGAAAAAAAAAAAACATAATATTGAAGCTGGAGCAGCTGAAATATAATTTCCAGCAGCAGTGCCGTCCAAAAACCTCTGCAGTATCTGAGCCTGTGTTAGTAAGGCCTTAATGCCTGCAGTGTTGCTCATAGCTGTGTGTGTGTGTGTGTGTTTTTTTTTCCAAGCCTGGCACAACATTTCCATGGTTACGTGAGAAACAAATAAAAGTGTTGGGTAATGCTCACAAGGCTGGAGTCAAGTCTCTCGACTGTATTCAAATTAATTTACACCAAAAGCAGGCACGTAATTACGCAGCCTGAATACAAGCCTGGGCTGTTCTATAAACTGTAACAGTAACGCGTTGAGAAGTCGAGTCGACTTCACAATGGTTTATTGTTTCAATCATTCGAAGGTTATTTTCAAGGAAACACCGGATACAAAAGAAAAGGTGCAGAAGTCAAGCTGACTCCAGGATTTTGTGTCAGTGTATGAGGATAATCTGGCAGCAGCTTGGCCCTACTTTGTGCCTCTCATGTTTTATCATAGCATTTGAGTCACAGAGCTAGACTACGTGTTGGCCGAAAGTATTTGGACGGTTTACATTCATGTGAGATTAAACATGTCAGTCCAAAACTACAGGTATTTCTCTGCAACTTTCACTCTTCTGAAAAAGCTAAAATATCATTGTATTCTAAAGGGGCCTACATTAATCCACAAAAAAGGTTCAAACCAACAATAATGTAGAGTGGAGTGTCCACATACTTTTGGCCATTTCCACAATCTTCAAAGACAAGTTCAGTGAGTTTGCGTCGTAAAAAAAAAATATTCCTGCTGCACATTAAAGACAATCTTTTGTAAAACTTGTTAAAAGATGAAAATACTTAGAATCAGAAGAAGTTAATGTACATCAATGTTATTTTAATTGTAATTATAGTGGCGTTGGTCAAGGAGACACGTGTCCAGAGGTTTGATGTAATGTAATGTAAAGATAACTCATGGGAGCTACAAACCGCGCCTGATGAAAAGCCTATTAAAACCAAATAATGTCCATATATAGATAATAGAGAAAGTAGTCGAAGGAAAATCTGGTTGTGGAATCCTTTGAACATCCCAAAAAAAAACAAAAAAAAAAACTGAAGCACTGAAAGCACCTCAACAGTCTGACCGCTCATTACACCGCAGACTAACCGGACCACAACAGAGCCGGATGCAGCAGAAGGTCCTGGCAGAGAGAAACCTGCTCAGGACTAAAAGCAGACATAACAGCAGGATGAGAGAACACAGAGACGGGCCCTGTTACCTTCACACAGATGACAGGGTTGGACGGTGAGCTAATGGCAGTGACCTGGTACAACCGGGGCGAGAAGGTACAGAAGCTGTTGGGCTCAGTGCTCCTCTGTGTGGCGGTGGTGGTGGCGGTGGTGGCGGTGGTGGCGGTGGCGGCGGCGGTGGCAGCGAGTTCATCTGTTCTGTCTAATATCATCTGCACGTCCAAATCTCTTTCCCCTCAAACAGTGAAACTTGGGAGGAGGGGTCTAGAATTAATCACACAATCAATCGTTGTTGTGTTTTAGCTTTTTTTGAATGTATTTTTCCTACCTGCCATTGACTTCCATTGATTTCTGTAACTTGGTGACAAATGTTAACGTAGACTTCATGTCTGCTGGGATGGATTATGCAGCTCAAGCAAGTTTCAAAAGCCTGTAGTGGGAAAAATACATTAAAAAATGCATGGTCTCAGATGTGCAGGTCAACATTAAACTACCAATAAATATGAATACTAGTGTCTGGATATCTGTGATGAGTCTGAGTTTGGGGTAAAACCTGTCATTAGGTGTTTTTTTTCCAGCATCCAGTGAAAATGAAATGAAAGTAAAAGGTGTAAAACATGAATAATGTTACCTGTGGATCAAAACCTTTGCACCTTTCAGATACACGACAGCTCTTACGATACGACAGCTCCCTCTAGTGGAATAACGTCAGAAATGCATATGCGCACTGTGTGGCCAATAGTATGTGGACAGCCAGACGTTACATTAGTATGTGTGTGTGCATGAATACAGTTCTGCAACAGCCTCCACTCTGCATCCCTCCCTTTTATCAACCTGGCTTTGTGCACCTGGGGGGGGGGGGTCTGCTGCGGCATTTACTTTTCCCTTAAACAGACCAAACCACGAACAACCCTTTAGTCAAAAAGTGCACTAAAGTAAATGGACAGGTGGTGTCCACATCTAGAATCATTTCTTTTTCTTGCTGATGCCAGCAGCTTTGTCCGTGGGAAGGATGGGAAGTCAGTTATAGTATAGTAACAGAAACCACAGAGTAATCCTTTAACTTACTGTAACTTTGTCGTGCTGTGTCTCATAACTCTGCCAGAGGAGAGAGGTTCTGCCAGTTTGACATAAATAAATCATCACTGATGTTTTCATTTTTAGAGCACTATGTCAGCGCTGACTGGTTTACCCGCTCACCTCAGATGAATCCTCATCACATGCTGGGACACACCTCCTCTCTAAAGTGCCACTACACTATCCCTTTGTTAGCTGCACAAGCGCAAAACAAAACAGCGAGGCAGCAACTAGATAACAGATGCAACAACAAACATGACGTTCAGTCTCTTCTCTCCTCCTTCAGTCAGAGTGACTCAGCTGTGCTCATCAGTGGAAAGACAAGAGACCAGGTGACATAGACACTGTGGCTTTTAACCACCTGGAGGGAAACACCTTCAGCAGCTGTTTTCTCTCGCAGCAGACAGATCACACACACACACACACACACACAGCGGTGATTAGACAGAGACTTCTCAGTCATTCTGTTTGATTTGTTGCTGTCAAAATACGTCAAGCAGAGACATTCACCTTCCCTGAACATGGTGGTTAAGAGGATGCTTTCACATGTACGTCACCTCAGCTCTGTTGAGGCTCTGTTCAGGTGAAACCTTTTATTCAGCCCCTGATCCCTGGACGGAAAAAAGTCAGAGGAAATCCTTTGTTTTGTGTTCACTTCTTTTGTGTTTACTGTGCTCATGTGCATCGGTCTGAGGTGTCGTTGCAGAGTACAGCCTGCTGCTGACGGCTCACCGCCATCAGTGGGCGCTGAATGACTGTGCATTCGTCAGCTGTGCAGAGGAGCTCTGGCCTTGCTGATCTGTTAACAGACAACTCATTTCTGAGTTGGATCACACACACACACACACACACACACACACACACACACACACAGTACCGTCTGTGTTCTCCAGCATGTCCTCTTTATTTGGTTTCAATAAACAAACCCCCAGGGAAGCTGCTTCTGTCCTGGTTCGCCCCCAAACCCCACACACAATGAGCTCTGAGGCTGTTTGCCTGCAGGACAGCGTGTCTCAATTCTTCTGTCCAGAAGACTGAAATCAGTTAAAAAGATATAGTGTTTACTGTGCATGGATATATATATATTTTTTTTTTTTTTATTGTTTTGTTTAATGTGATTTTTCAGGTATGCTGAAAGAAATTCCACGTGCATTTCCTCATGAGAAATAGTTTGTTTTGAACTGATTTCTTTAGAGCTCCTTGAGAGGATATGATCCTTGCAGCCAAACAAAACATATGTAAGATACAACAAAAGACCAGGAGTGACGCAATATATTGAGAAATATAATCCCTCACTTGGTAAATCATGGGATTGTGATTAAATATGAATATTTCTGGTGATTTCTATTGAGCAAAAAGGATCAATTTTCATTTTTCTTGCACATGTGTAATGCGTTGCTGTGTTTTACTCCTCTGTTGTCCTGTACAGAATATTCTTCTCACTCCAGTCTGTTGAATTTGCTTTGGCCACACACACACACATACACACACACACACACACACACCGCCATCCAACATTTTCAGAGGAACAATCTGCATCATTTTTGGCCTCTCGCTCTCTCAGCTGTTGCAGCAGCGCATACTGAAGGTGATGAAGCGTGTTATGACATCAAGCCAGAGGAAGGCTGCTGGCACAGGTCCATCCCCTCCGGCTCAGTGTCCACCAACCACACCGACCCCTCCTTACAGATGTTCATCCCTCTCCAGCACACCTGGTTCTCCGTCAGTCAGCGCACTCTTTGTCACTTCTACCACAACTCAGTGCAATAAATCTCAGAGGGTGAATCCGCGACGTCTTCATGTGTTGATCCCGCTTCTGTTGCTCTTCATTGCTGAGATCACCCCGTCAGTTAAACACACTTGACGTCTTTTCCCGGGACACCGTGCTGATTAATTTGACTTCTCTGTAAGTGGCTTCCTCTTCTGTGTATTTTGAGACAAACTGGAAACATCAACACATCGTTTTTCTGCCCGCGAGAGAACAGCGAATACATGAACTCTCAGGAAGTGGCTGTGACTAAATCAGTGTCATCATGTCTGTCGCGTCGGGGACGATATAACACAATATAACAAATGTTGTGCTATCGACACTGTGGAAAAACCTTTATTCCAAAAATATCAGTAATGTCGCCTGTTCTGATGATACCCAGGAAAAATGTCTTGACTTACGTTTTTGTTAATGGAATCAGAAACATCCTCTCCGATTTACAAAGATCCACACAATTAAAATCAGATTTATATCAAATGAAAGTGTGAACTTATAGTTGGATCTCAAACTGAACATGAAAAAAGTGTCAAATACCTGCAGCAGATTACAGTTTGTATTGCAGTGAAGTAATAACACAAGCAGAGGACGATAAGCAATAATGTATCTGGAGAGGAAAAGAAGAAAGTACATGTACGTGCAGTGTAAAGCTCAGATGTCGTGCTGTGATTTCACTGGCACTTGACTGTGGTTTATTTTAGTCAAAGCCTCCTCAGATAAACAAGCAGGACCCCGGGACTGGAGAGTTTAAGAGCTCTTGAAGGCTTCACATAAACTGTTTTACACAGTGACACTGACACAACAGGAGGAAAAAGGAAAGCTCCAGCACAGTGGAAGCAGTGAAGACTAAAGGAGAGGAAAGGTTTACAGTTAATAGATCCAGAGAGCAAAGACATCTGGTCTGTGAAACTTTGAGACACATGCATATTTATTAAGTGTCTTAAAAATCTGTCTAATACACTGTAACTTAACCACGTACATCTTTTCTCACCGTGGAGATATGGATGAATTTTGCCTTGTGTGTTCTCACCTGAGCTGATGCTTCATTATATTCCTAACATCCACTGATGGCCTTCAGTGGGACCTGATATGAGCCGTGCCGCGGTGACTCGGTCCGGCAGATCGGCAGATACATGCAGCAGAATCTTATTGACGGCGCTCCCGTCCGCCCGGCTGCTGTAACCATTTCCCGTGATGCATGAGATTGTAATCTTTTGGTTTCCTTTTTCATTAGGAGTGTCTTTATCTAGCACACAGGTAACGGAAGACGGGAGCACTGATCTCTCCAGGCATGAAAATATGGAGCTGCAGCGCGGTGGTCTGATCAGTGGCGAGGCCGTGAGCAAGAGGTTCAGTCAAGGTAGGAAACAGCTTGCATTCAGCACGGTGCACCAACTGTTTAACTTTCAGCTGCAGTAACAAGAATTTCCTACAGAAAAGTCAAATTCACCTAAAACAGGTTTGTTTTTTCAGGTCTAGGTTCTATATTAATACTGTGTACTCAGAAACCGAGCCTTAAAACCAGCCCTCAGGACTTCCTGGAACTTTGTGATGTCACAACAACAAAGCCGTCATCGCTCTCAGCCACGCCACAAGCCCCGCCCACCTGGATGCATTTTCTTAGTGGTTTCTTTTGGCAATCTTTTTCATAAATTAGACAGAGTTTGCACATCAAGAGCATAATTCAATGTCGCATCAAGACAGACGAGTTTTTCATGAACTTTTCTCACCTAGAAAAATCTCACTGCAGCTTTTTTCACTGTAGAACCCAGACACTAACTGTAATACCTCTTTACGCTTTATACCTGCGAGCAGCCTTCGTCAGCAGAAGCCCTCTCTCATCTGGCGAAGAGTTAACGAGAGCACCGGCTGGAAAATCCCTCCCTCGACCTCCCGTTCTCATGTGACCTTTTATGAGCCTCTCTGTCATTATCTGTCATGAACCGTAATGATCCAGCTGAAGGAGCCTGTCTATGAAGACACACGGCTCACAGTGGTGGAGGCGGCGCACACTTAATCACCACTCTGTGCATGAGCTAAAGCAACAGTAAGAGGTGAAAGAGTCCATCTGCAGAATGAAACCAGCTCCGGGGGCCTCTGATGGGTCAAGAGCATTAATCAGAGTTTACTGTCCTGGTCAGCAGGGTTTGTATTGACGCCCCCCCCAGGTGATAAATAACCTCCTTTGGACTAGGTTTAGCTGAACGGGAGTGGTCGACAGAAACAGTAAAATCAAGACTGAGTGCAGCCCTGCTCCTCTCTGATAATCCCTCACCTTTGTCTGTGAGATTACTCTCCTCACTTTCTGCTCAATAGCTCGGACCTGAAGCTCCCGTCGTGTCTCAAGGGAACAACAGTAACTGGAGAACCAGCAGATGGCGCCATAACAAGTCAGATGCATGCAGTGCAACCAAATTACTAGTCTTCATCTTTTCTCTCCGCAGCACATGAGGAGAAAATAGAGAGTGTGTAGTTGTTGTTGTTGTTGTTGTTGTTGTTGTTGTGCTGCAGGTGTTGTGGTTGCAAGTTGCAGATCATTCCTACAGCTTGTGTCACACTTTGGGGTTTCCACATTCTGCATTCCAGCAGTGATGATGCTTACCACCACTCCAACCTTTCTTTCTTCTTCTCCTTTCTTCCTCTTCTCCTTCTTCTTCTTCTTCTGATTCTGCTGCTGCTGCTGCTGCTCCCTGTCAAGACAAGAGCCAAAGTACTGCAGAGTTTACCACCACAGGAGCCACACACACATACTCACCCCTCGGGTATACAGTAAGACACAGACACACACCCTGTGTCAGACACACCCCTTGGCAACTATGTCAGAAAATGCCCTGGGGAAAGGCAAAACTCCGGCTGCTCTGACAAACACAGAGCGAAGGAGTGCTTCATGAAACTTCTAGGTCGACGGTCTGGGAGTTTCGAACAATGAGCTTTTATGACAGAACTTTTTGGGGCTTTTAGCTGACGATCGCTTCATAAAACAGCATCACGTACAGATGAAGGAGATACAGCACAGAATTCATCTGTGAACAAAGTGGCTTCTTGTGAGAGTGAAAACGTCGAGGAGTCCAGCACATTACCTCCATAAAACCAAGAACTGCTGTATTATTTTCTTAAAGCTCGTGTAAGCCAGGCCGGCTGTTTCCAGACTTTATGCTTTAAAGGTCCCACATCACGGACACACTTTCTCTTTGTTTTACCGGATGTTTTGATATACAGTGAAACAAGAAGAAAAAAATATAGCAGATTTCAGGTAAACACTCAGAGAAACCAAATCTTGCAAAGTTGGACGTTTGGGTCCAGGTCACTGCTTTTGTTGTTGTGACATCGCAAAGTTACAGGAAGTCCTGACGGCTCGTTTTGAAGCTCAGTTTCTGAAAACAGGCTGTGTGTCTGAGCTCTAATTTCAGGAATTCACATCTAAATTTGGATCCCTCTAAGAAATGTGTACCCAGCTATTTAATATATTATAACTTCTCCTCCAAATCTTGTTCAAATACAGCTGCTCCATTCTTCATTTATTATTAATATGCAGTTTGGCTGCTTTCAGTTTTCTTCTTTTTTTTTTGTTACTCGACTCAGATTCCTCTGCAGTAGTCAATCAAGGTGAAGTAAAGGTTGATGATGCGCACCATGACAGTTTAAGGGCTCTCTGGTGTCGTGTCAGAGGTAACGGTGTTTTCCTTTGGGAAATCAGGGAAGTTATAAAGTAGAAAGGCAGATGAATTTGTGGGATTTTGTCAGTCTGGTCAGTTTTGATTCTGAGAGTGATCGTAAAAGCAGATGAGCCTCGTGGAGTATTGTTAAAATATGGAGAGATAAAAAGGGGAAGAGAGAGGGAAAAAATTACCCTGTAATGACACTTCACCTCGCAGAAACACTCATTACATCCGTGTTCTGAGTAAAATCTAAGTTGAAGATGTCACAGACTTCACCACATCTCTCATCCGCCCACTTCAACACACTTGCCCCCTGTCTGTCTGTCTGTCTGTCTGTCTCATTAAACCCTCACATGTCACTATGTGTGTGTGTGTGTGTGTGTGTCCTGTCAGAAAGTGAGTGCAAACAGCCGCTGTGCCTCTTCCTAACAGCTCTGTACCTATTAATTCTACATCCACACTCTGTTATCAGGGTTTCCAGTCTTCATTCCAACTGTACCTCCTTTTCAGGAAGTGGGACAAAGGAATTTTTTTCTTCTGCTGCCCGCTGTGATTCATGGCTGAGGCACACACACAGTTGGTTTAGCCTTTATAACTTAGATCATTATTTATGGCCGAGTGAGCCGTTTTAACATGACAACCAGTGGTCTGACTCACTGGGGGTGCTGGAGGAGAAGTCAGGTGGAAGCTGGAGAAGAATGAACTTTCTTTCTACATGTGGCCTGTTTTACCTTCTTTCCCTCCAAACCAAGCCACCCCCCATTTAATTTAAACTTCCTTTAGTGCATGAGAGTAGATATCAAACTTTACAAAAGCTAATTTAAGTTGTGTGAGGCCGTAGCTCATGTGATAATGTATAAATACCCACAAATAAAGTTGTGTTCCTCTGATAATCAGTGATTTAGTTGTAATTGGTGGGTTTGTGCCGCATGATAATCACTAACTAACTTGTAATTTACTGTCAGCTTCAGTTTTCCTGTCTGATCTGAACTCCACACACAGAGGAGACCACTCAGCAGCGGCAGCACCTGGATACGTCACGTATAGTTTGAAGAGAAGGGGGCGGAGCTTCGCGCGCCACGAGAGGAGCCGTGAGATGCGAGAGCCGCGCGGCGTGTTTGTGCTGAACGCGTCCGGCCAGTGAGTCAGTGAGTCGGGCAGAGAGGAGCCTCACAGGTCTCAGCTGGAGAGTTGAACTGAGTGGGAAACCGGCGAAGTCACATTAAGAAGAAACAATATCGGACTGAGTTTTTTCTTCTTTTTTTTTTTATCTCCAGAATTAAGAAGCGAAGAGGAAAAAAAAAAAAAAGATTAGTTCGGACTTGATGTGAAAGTCAAAAAAAAAAGAAAAGTGCCGCTGCTGCAGAGACCAGTGGAATATGATTTGAACCAACACGAAACACTGTTGCTCGCTAACAGGTGAGTTTTTCTTTTTCTTTTTTTTTTTCTCACAGTTTCTCGACATTTCTCTCTTTTCATTCAGCAGTTTAACTTCGATCTGTGACTTTCATGCGTAAAAACGCGGCGATGAGATGAGACTGAAAAACTCCTCACCCCTTTCTCCCTCCTCCTCCTCCTCCTCCTCCGCTTCTTCTTCTTCTCCTGATTACAGTATCACAGCGCGTTTACTAATGTTTTTACTGGCTCCTAACACCTTTTCACCAACTTCCCATCTGTGTTTTCTGAGACCTTTCGCTGTGAGTCACTTTCCTCTCGAATTGAAAACATTTTCACTGTTTTCCACCGCCTTTTGTCCTTTGAAAGAAAAGAAAAAGGAAAAAAAAACAAATCTGCAATGCTGTAAATGTAATGTGTTTGGTGCAGGTGCGCAGTAATGTGCCTCCTATTTCTTATAATTTTAGACCAAAACAAATCGACACTCATCTCACCATCCTCCATAATGAAGGAAAACTGACTCTAATATTGAGAAACCTTCTATCAAAGATCCTTAAAGAGCGTTTTTGGTTTGGGTTTTATTGTCTCCTACATCACTTTAATCCTCAAACCCTCATGGCTTTTGCCACTTATTAGTGAAACTTTACCTACAAGCACCTGTTAGTTTAAATCTTCCTGAAACACTGTGGCTGGATGACAGGCTGAGCTCTCTCCCTCAGATTTATGCCAAAAAAAACAAGGAGACTTCAGTTATAAATCAGTCAAAATATGCACCCAGGGAATCCGAGTGAGTTCATGCATCACCGCGGGCATGAATATAAAGACTGAGCCCAGTGTGCTGGATGTTTTTGCCTTGTTTTGGTTTATGTTTTATATGTTGGGTTTGTATGGAAACCGCATCCAAATTGGAGGAATGCAAATACGCATTTTGCAAATGCTTTGGTGTTGCTCTTCTCTCCCCCCCCTCCCCTTTTTCCCTCTCCCTCCCTCCACTAAAAGCATCTCCCAGTGGATTACCATTTAGTCGCTGGGGTTATTTATCATTTCGCAGGACGGTCCCCCCCCCACCTCCCTCCCTCCCTCTTGCCTTCTCCCTCCCACCTTTTTTGTTTTAATCGAGTTTATCTCTTCTCCCTTGGGCTTTTGCTGTCTAAACTTAGGCCCGTGGTTGCGTCTCCCTGCGCAGTGGGCTCCTCTCCGGGTGATTCACTGCTTTGCCCTGCGCTGTGGTCACTCGGGAACAGGAGCTGGAGCGCCACAGAAGTGCTCAGCCGAGTCTCGCCGCTGGTTTTTCTAGGGTCAGTGGATTCAGGGGTAGAGGCGCTGATGATTAGGAGGCTGATATTAAAGCTCTGTGTCACCATAAAGCCTGCAGTCACTTCAGTATGACTGGTTTCACTGCTTGTGGTGAAGTGAGTAAACCCTGGTTTCACACCCCGACACAGTCCTGTTGATGAGTCTGAAAAGGGATTTCGATGCCCCTCTTGTTTCTTGTCTGAAGTCCCTATTCAGCACAGATTGTGCCTTTTTTCCACTCCAGACGATTAAGGCCACCTACTCAGAGGTATCTGTGATGAATGTTTTGAGGTCTTTGTGTTCCTGCTGGGATGTTTTACCAACTCATTTCTCGTGTCTCTTGTTTCTGGAACAGGATGAATCTGGGTTGGCTTCATGCAGTCACGCTGCTGTGGGCCCTGTGCCCCAGTACGCGAGGTCAGTGTGATAAATCATCAGAGACCGGCAAACTCAACCTTTCGGTGACTTACGAGCTCCCGACGTTCACCGCAGACTTCCCCATCCAGAACATGGTGACGCTGGAAGGGATCATCTATGTCGGGACTGTGAACCGAATCTTCGCTTTGGCCCCGAACCTCACGAAGCTCTCAGAGTACCACACGGGGCCGCTGCTCGCCAACGAGACGTGCGGCCGGACACCGACCGGCACGGGGGGCGGCAGCAGGGTGGACAACCACAACATCGCCTTGGTGGTGGAGAACATTTACGACAAAGGGTTGTACAGCTGCGGCTCGGCAGACAACGGCGTTTGCCGCCGTCACGTCCTGGATGATGAAGACATGAGCCCGAAAACTGTGGACGAACAGGTGTACTGCTTCGCTGACAAGGTGAGGCAAGGCAGGGGTCAACCCAGCGACTCGGATGTTGTGGTCAGCCCTTCAGGCTCTCAGGTGCTCAATGTGGAGAGCAACGTCATCAAGTTTTTTGTTGGGAACTCCGAGATCCCCGGTTTAGAAAAGGTATCGGAGAACGCAACGCATCCCCACACACTTTCTCTGCGGAAGATGAAGACGAGCCAAAATGGCTTCACTTTCTTCTCCAACCACTCGTACATGGACCTGATTCCGCCTCTCCGCGGAAAGTACTACCTGCGCTACGTCTACTCCTTCCACAGCGGACCCTTCACCTACTTCCTCACCGTGCAGCGGGTGAGCAGGGACTCTCGGGCCTACCACACCCGCATCGTTCGCATGTGCTCCTCAGACCTGGTGATCCGCCGCTACGTGGAGATGCCCCTCGAATGCATCAGCACCGACAAGAGGCGGCGACGCTCCACAGAAGACGTGAAAGTGTTCAACATCCTGCAGGCGGCCCACGTCGCCAAGGTGGGCAGCGATGTCGAGCTACAGAAGCAGCTGAAGGTGGAGGAGGACGACGACGTGCTGTTCGCCGCCTTCGCCAGAGGAAAACCCAACTCTCCGGAGCCGACTCCGAACTCGGCCGTCTGCATCATGTCGCTGAAACACATCAACAACATGTTCAAGATGTACATGCAGAGGTGCAACACGGTGGACCCGTATCACTTCACTGGGTCGGAGAAGAAGTCCTGCTACAATGTGGTAAGAGCCGGGCGCCGGGCGGGTGGGTGGGTGGGTGGGGGGCGGGGGGGCTGTGCAGGGGTAGCCATTGTAGAACTCCCACTTTGCATTTGCTTTTGTCGGAGGGAAATGCAAATGTTGCTGTTTGCTCAACTGTTAAAACAAGAAAAAGCACAATGAATTTTCAAACCCACGACTTTATTTAAGGAAGATGGAAAGAAGACATAAATCCTGCACTTCTCTTCTTTTCTGCTCAAATTTTTACCTTTTCTTTTTAACAAAAATGACCAAATTCTTTCGAAGAAGTCTTGTTGCATCTGTTCCTAGAATCCTCTTTTAATTAAAACTGAATTAATGAGCCCAAATCACATTGATTCAGTTTTAATTTTTGTTATTTTTGTTACATTTAAGACTGAATAAACAAGTTTAAGTGGCTGCAGTTATGTTTAATGGCAACTTCTACAATGGCTACTGCTAATTAACACATTTATGGCTCCTCAAAGGTTCGTTATAATCTTTAGTGAACTTGAAAGATGCAAAAGAATGTACTTGCTGACGATACATTTACATTACTTGCTGACGATTCATTGATCTGAATCGGAGTCAAGACAACGTTACAATCTGCAGATCAGAAAACAAGTTTGAGCGTCATCATGATGCAGTTTTCTAACGTCTTTTAGTCCCGTGAAATAAGCCTCTATCTGTCATCTGTTGCACTGTGTGCACGGCTTGCTTTTTATCCTCTAGAGCTGCAGGGCCGCGGCTGTTTTATCTGCTGCGGGCAGGTTGGTTTGTTGGCCAGAGACACTCAGTCTCAGTAACTGGGTGGTCTCAGTTCAGCCACTCAGTGCGTCGACTGTGTCCTTGTCTAAGCGTCCTTGAGCAGGACGCTGAAGCATGACCTGCTCTTAACTTAGTCCCCCTGACCTCTGACCCCCTCTAGTTAGGATCGTACACAGCACACCTGCCTCTCAGCAACATGTGAGTTTACTATGATGATCCTAAATGTCTGTTTTATATTCCCTTCTAATGCTCATGGATTAATGGCCGGCTTCATACAGTGCAGTGTTAGTAGATACATTTTTCCAAACAGGAAGATAAACAGCTGAATGTTCTTCATTAGCCAACTCAGTTACCTGAGCTCGGTCCAGCTGATCATGTGTTTCACTTGCTGAAAAAGAAGACATGATGCCAAAAGTGAAGCTGGATGTAGTGTAGACCTGGCAGAACATCACAGGGGGACGAGATCTGTGTTTGAGAACTCACTTTTCACACCAAATATTAAATCATCTGCTCTGAATGTAAATGTTAAAGTCGCCACTTAAACCTCGTAGCGATTCCTCCAATTCCTATGCAATGCACTGAATAGCCCCCCCCCCCCCATGCTGCTGTGAGCCAGTTGTTACCTTTCCCAGCGCTCGCTCCCCCTCCAATCCATCAACATCGACCCCGATCAATCCGCCGAATCACCTGATCAATAGTGACATGAAGTTAACTGCCGACCGCCCTGTCAATATGTGTTCCAGTGCTTCCCTCCCCGTGACTTCATCTTTACTTAACCGCAGCATCAGTCACCACTGTATATCACCAGGCAGGCAGCGGATTACTCCTGGATATATATATATATATATAACATACAGGAGTAATGCAAGAGTCGTGTGCAAACACCCAGTACACTCCTGAGGAAGACTTCTGTCAAAACATTGTGTGTGTGTGTGTGTGAGTGTGTGTGCGTGTGCGTGCTATAAACATCACTCTGTGTGCCTCCACAGTAGGAGCATTTATTGCTGTGATTAGCGCGGCTGCAAACCACAATCATGCACCATAACACTGTGCGGTAGTGAAGCATCTCAGCGTGGTTGTACCAGTGGTTTTGCATGTTTTATATTATTGATTACAAATCGTGCACACGTTGCATCGCAGCTGTCACAGACCAGGCTGCGCTGTTTGAGAAATTTCATCCACTGGTTTCCATTCAGTTTTGTACGGTATGAAAATAATCCATCACAGTTTTCTTGTAAACTAAAACAGCCACTTTTACACTGAGTTTCTGTGACTGTTGTGTGCATAACAAACACACTGACCTTCACGTAAAACATTTGCGAAGCCAAGTCTTTGAATATTTAGAAAGTTATATTGTGTCTATCCATGTTCATATGAACTAGTTATCTTCTTCTTCCCTACCTTTTTTTGTGCATAGCTTTATTTCCTGGTAAACAACCTGCACTAAGTGAAATTGCATCACTCCTTTGCACTTGTGTATCTTTGGGTACATAACACCAGAGACAAAATAAACAGGGATCTGCCACAACAACACTACCAGTCAAAAACTGCAGAGGGGACCTTTAACTATCGGTTACTGGAGATTCAAAGACGTAACTCCGTAAATAAAACTGCACTTAAGCTGCATTAATGTACCCTTAACAACACGACTGATGTTCACTATGATGGACTGTACAACATAAACAAGTTTCAAGTGTTTACTAATTGATTTTCATATTCAACAGAAACATATAGAAACCAGGGCCCAGGTGCACAAATAACACCCTTAAAGTTTCCTTAAAATGTTCACTTAAGTATTTAAAGTTTTCTCCTTGTCTTAGTCATATACTTAAGGAATCACTTAAAGTCAGGTAAACCGTTGCACAAAAGACATTAGAGACCAAAGTAAGGAAAAAAACAACTAAAGGATTTTACCGCTGTAAAACGTCTTTCACTGCTGCAAAACTTTTTCAGAGATTCTTTGCAACACCCTCAGCTAAGGAGAAAATAAACCTTAAGCAACCGGCCCCTGTGGCCATGCAAAGAGTATAAAAATCAAAAACTGCGTGGCGTGCATTGCAGATTGTTTTGGCAAAAGCGTGCAGTAGACATGTTTTATAGTTACGGAGCTGTAACTTGCAAACACGCTGTCTGGTCCTTTAAGTTCAGGCTGTAGTGATTTTAAAGGCGCAGTGCTGCAGTGGAGAGATCACACACACAGACATGAAGAGTGACATGTGGTTAAGCTGTTAAAACAGATTCAAACCAGCTTTCTAAATGCGTGGTAGGTGGGTGGGTGGGTTAGGTGTTTGGGCACATCGGCGCGGCCCTGACAGCTATCAGCAGTGGAGATCCACAGGGGGAAGTGAGGAATGCTGGGAGCTTGGGGGGGGGGTTCGGGGGGCAGTGAATATCTGACTCTCAGCGAGCCGTGATGAATGGCTCGGGGATAACAGGGCATCAGCAGCTGGGCGGAAGATGATCCCTCCCCGGGCCGCTGTGGCAGCCGGCCACGCTGGCGAAGCGCCTCCCCCCCCCACCCAACCTCCCCCTCGACCCCCCCACCTGTTACCAGCACCTGTGGGAAAGTGGATGTCGCATCAGTGGCACCGAAGAGCCTTTTTTCGATGGGTTGACGTCGGGCTCGGTGATAATTTGGTGATTCTTTGTCAGATCTTGATTTGATCATATCACAGAACTGTGGTCTGTGTGGCTGTTCGCACATTGCTGCATCACTTCTGAGACACCTCTCACCTCCACACATTTCAATGCAAAAAAAAAAAAAAAAAAGATGGAAGGTAGCTCGCCGTTCGAATACCGCCGAACAAATCGCAGACCGTCTGTCCTTCTGGCGTCTTTGATGAACAGCTGTGGAACGTTTTCCCTGCTATAACGCTTAACAGTGAACAAATTTTGTGGTTGTTTTTTGGAATGTGCAGAAGTCGGAGATGCATTCCTCTCCTGTAAACTGATAACTCACAGAGCCTGTTGTGCACAGGACCAGAGCAAAAAAAAAAAAAATCATCCTGCTGCAAATCAAACAACTTTAACGCGTCACGCTTCTCCAGTTCCAAACAGTTTTAACAAGAGCTGTATTGTACAGCAGGACGATGAGCGCCGGGCAGAGCTCCTCTCCTCACTTGCATCTCTTTGACAGCGCCGGTATGAAAGCTGTTGTTTTGATCGCCCTGAGTGAGAGCGTCCTGTTCCGTTATTAGACGGATTCCTTCCTGTTGACTCACTTGATTACTGGGTCGGCGTGAAGTATGACATCAGTTTAGCTGGAGGTGCAGGAGCATCTCTGAGCTGTATAATTATCACCGGGGTCTTTGTTTCTAACTTCCAACGTAGCCCTTTTGATTTATCTACAACCGACATGATCTTAACATGATTGACTGACTTCATTCTTTAGCAGCTGCATGACTATCTAGACTCAGAGATCCCTTTTTTTGTACCCCCAAACTCAAACTCATATCCACTCAGAACCAGAGCGTTGACTTATTTTCTTTCTCTGCAGGAGTCATCGGAGACAAATGGCACAAAAAATCTGCAGTTTCAAAATATTTCCGTCTCCAAACACGCAGACGCAGCAGGTCAAGTGCTGAGTCGCTGCAGCCAAAAGAGCTTTTATCTCAGTGCAAAGCGGGAAGCCGTTTTCCAGTTTTTTTTTTTATTGCTGACAGTCTTACTTGTATCCTCTTGTCCTCAGCTGCCAGGTTTAAAAAAAAAAAAAAAACTATCACAACAACACACCGTCGAACAATTGCCCACCTGAAAGAGAGTTGGAGGAGCTAATCATAGTACCGCTTAATAGATTTATGACCTGTATTCAGTGGCATATGGCAGGTAGACTCTCTGTTAGCATGAGGTTTGGGAGAGATAAGCACGGCCATAAATTCATAAACGTAAATGTTCAGAGGAGGCATACTTGAGCAGGCAGGAGGTTATTTTTGTCCTCTGCTTCACCAAACCGCGTATTTCTGGTGGAAAACTGCCAGTGTGGATCTGCATGAGGTTGAGAAGCTGAGTGTAAGAGTATGTTTGAAGTTTTTAAGAGGCGGTTGTCAGCTCAGACGTGCCTCTTAACTCCAGTTTAAGCAGCAAGATATGATAAATGTTGTAATGATGAGTGCCTCTCTGTTCGGGCGCTGTCTACGTGATGGTGCAGATCTGTTGCTGTGTCTTCAGGCTGCACCTCAGTTACACCAGGAGCAGGAAATTAAAGAAATAATTACCATTCCTCATGATGAGACGTTGAG